ACGTCTATAAATTTCTCGTTTTATATTTTCTCATTTATATTCCATTTCAAATCCAAGCATTATTAACATCGCAGCGTCCGGTTTAGATTCATTTAAGGCAGCCGCATGGGTTGAAGAGCTTCAATATACCTGCCTGCTATTACGTACAATGAAGACCTACACGCCCTTTACCGAGCGATTAAGCCAACGTAATCCTTACCACTCGCTTTATGATCCCCAACTGCGGTATTGTTCTACTGCGCCGCAACTGCTGGATAAGCTGAACATTACGATAAAAAAATAAAGCACGAGTTAAAGAATACGAGCAGCAATTAGTAAAAATCAATCGCGAGTGAAGAATTTCCTGCAGAAATTAAGTAAAATACTTTTTTAGTTCAAAGATTCTATGAACAAAATTTCAGTGGAGAGACAATCTAAATTCTAGCACAGCTGAGTGACGTAAATATGCGCAGCATCTTTAGGCATGTCATCTTGTACGGCGTAAAAATAAAAGTCACAATCTTTATTTCCATATATTCATGGTTTTTGCTCATACTTTTGTTAATAATGAATTAGTATTGAAGCTATCATTAATTTTTTCTAACTATATAGCCCGTATTACACGAGGCGCTTCGACGTGCGCATTCCGTGCTTCATCTTAGTGGTCATTGCATCCATGGTTGAAATAATCCGTATTAGTTCAACCATGATTGCATCCGTCCTCTCGAATATTAATCATGCAGAGCACGCAAGGCTTGCAGCAATCCTCGATAATTTGTAACCGTAATGTTAATTATTCTATTTAATTATAATAATTAATCATAACAAATATAATATTATTTATTATGATTATAATAATTATGAATCAAGAAGTTTTTCATCCGCCTGCCTAAATTATTTTCATATATAATGCGTGGCCGCCCTTGTTGTCATTGATGCTCATTCATAATACGGCCGGAGTGTGTTATAGCTCGAGGAAGTCAATGCAAGCATGAGCTAAATGTCACCGTGATCAACAATTTTTGCCCTATTTTGTACATGTTTTGCTCGCCCGGTTTTGTACATGTAGTAAAAATCAACCCGCGAGTGAAGAATTCCCTGCAGTAATTATGTAAAATATCTTGTAAGTTCAAAGATTCTACTGAAAAAATTCCAGTGAAGAGGCAATGTGTTCATCTTCTTTTGTACGCCGTACTTTGTACATGTTTTGTTCCTCCGGATTTGTACGCTCTCTTTTGTACACGCAGTTTTGTACGCTCTGTTTTGACCAATTATCATCATATGTAAGCCGATGCCGCGTTCCTCATTTCGGAAATTAATAATGTTTGTGCGATGAGAGATTTTTGTGACCGTTGGTTTCTATCACAAGATACAGACCTGGTGCTTTGCTTAGGTCTGCAAAAATATTATTCATGCCAGCGTACAGTTGCCTCGTGAAGAATATTTTTACAGTTGTCAGCGTACAGTTGCCTGTCGAAAGATCTGTTCCCGAACAACGCCAGGTTAACATGCCACTAATGATGCCTATTTTCTCAACAACGCCAAGTCTTGCTTCCATTTATTCACAAATCCATCACTAGAATGCAGTTTGTGATATTTTATCAAGTAATAATGCTATCCAACGCTTAAAACCAGCATGCAAACGACCATTCTTTGTATAGAAAAGCATAAGATAATATTTTTGCAATCCGGCTTGACCGCCCGGAGCACTTCGAGCTTTATCAGTTTGTTTGCTTTTGTTGGGGGACGAGCACAAAATTCGCTAGACCAATATACGGTCTTGCCGCCTGTGAGAATAAAACATAAACTTTATCTTCTCCGCTGTGTGTGAGTGTAGCTGACGCGCTAGTCAAGTTCTTCATGCATTGAGCAGTGGAGTAACATTATCAGGCATTGAGCAGCGGAATAACATTATCAGGCATTGAGCAGAGGAGTAACATTATCAGGCATTGAGCAGCGGAATAACATTATCAGGCATTGAGCAGCGGAATAACATTATCAGGCATTGAGCAGAGGAGTAACATTATCAGGCATTGAGCAGCGGAGTAACATTATCAGGCATTGAGCAGAGGAGTAACACAATCAGGCATTGAGCAGCGGAATAACATAATCAGGCATTGAGCAGAGGAGTAACATAATCAGGCATTGAGCAGCGGAGTAACATAATCAGGCATTGAGCAGAGGAGTAACATTATCAGGCATTGAGCAGAGGAGTAACACAATCAGGCATTGAGCAGCGGAGTAACATAATCAGGCATTGAACAGCGGAGTAACATAATCAGGCATTGAGCAGCGGAGTAACATTATCAGGCATTGATTAGAGGAGCAACACAATCAAGCATTGAGCAGAAAACACAATCATCTGGGGTAACAGCAGACAAAGTTGGTCTCACAACAGCCAGAAAGTTTGCATACAAATCTCTTAGACCTTCATCCGAGCTGCTAGTCTCATCTTCATTCAAATCAAGATCCTTTACTTATTGTTCTGCAAAACTAAGTGCACAAAACATCAGAGTTCAGAACAGAAGAAACAGACAGAACAGAACAGTCTAGCCATCAAGATTTGCAAGTTGGCAGAGAAATTTCCATGTCTAACTATCATGATTTACAAGTTGACATAAAAAATGCTTGTCTATTTTCCAAGATGCACATAGAATAGAATAGAATAGAAGTGTCGGCGTTGAAGAAATAGGCCCATGGCCTGTTGCCGATTCTTGAACTTTTCGTGACTTGATTCACAAGGGAACCTTTGGAACCCGATCTTTCCATAACTGACGATTGATTGAGATAACTGCTGGACTTATTGCCTGCTCCGTAATTTGCTAGGCATTTTAAGACTGAACATATGCTCCTGCATAGCTTCGTCTAGTCTTATTGCCTGGTCCGTAATTTGCTGGGCATTTTAAGACTGAACATATGCTCCTGCATAGCTTCGTCTAGTCTGTTTTTGAAGATGTTCATACATGCCTATTGTTAATTTTAGGCGTCGTAAAATTGTAACTGCTAGTGGCGGGCCAAACCCGAAACCTGCTGATTGAATATTCGAGTCCTTAATAACCCGGAAATCCTGATGATTTCAATCAGAATTTTCACAACTAAACAAAGGTTTCGTTCCAATCTTGATAATCCTAAGCACTCTGGCAAAACCTAAGATAGATAAAACCACACGAAAAAATAAGTTGAAATTGTCAGAAAATGAGCTTCAATTAAACAAGTTACGAGATTTATTAAATCATAAAAATCTAGTGTTCAGTTATTCACTGAACTGAAGAAGCATAATGGCGGTCGAGTGTGTAGGTGTAATGGCAGTTTGTATCACCTCAGAATAAACAATGTTTAAACTGTTATAATAGCGTCGCACTTTCTCCCCCCACCCCCAATAGACTATATAGATAACATTGATGCACCCTTCTGTCGGAACAAACTGGGCCAGGATGACCCACACTAGGACATAACGTGGATTGATATTTGGACAAAACCTTACTCATTTTCCTCAGCGCATGCACTGTTTACCATGAATTTTTACTTTGGCGGCCTTTCGTTCAGATGCGCAAGTAACCACCTGAGGCAGGCTCAAACCCAAACACTTGGAGTTGTGATCCTGTTAACGTTTGTAAAATATTCAATGACATATTTATTCGTGTAATTTCTGGATGCATCAAGTGCAAATTCAGTGTGTAACCCCAATCGATTACCTGCAAGTCATATAGGAAGGCCAGCCAAACTGGGGAGAAGCAAACTAAAGACATTCTCTTATACCTGCCCTATCTTCATGCGAAGGCCCGTATATATGCTACCAGTTCTGATATCATTATTTACTTCGGATATTATCAAAATTGTTTCGATCTTTAATATCGAGATATAAAAAAATCTCAGGTAATTCAAATTTTCGATTTACCAGTGCCAACGAAAAATGTTGTTCGATCTATTGAAAAAACTTATAAGAAAATTGTCAATAAAACGAATTCTCTGGTCGTCAATGAAACCTGTTTGAAGGAAAAACTTTCGCCAAAATATACTAATAGATAAAAATCTCTGCACGCTTAGCAAGTGCAAAGGGCGTATCTCTACTATCGAGAGATCAAATTAAAATGTTTTGATTGCGTCCGAATGAATTTTGTAGGATTCAAAGATTTGTCGCAAAAAATGAAGTGCGTCAGGAACCAGCATATCCAATTCAACGGATCTGAAAAAGTATAGAATTCAAACTTTGAAGTTTTTTTTTTCATCCCCATTACTTCTTTTGATATTTTGGTACTATAATATTTAATTGTATTCGAAAGTTATTTATTCAAGATTTATTAGGTTGACTTGCGGCTATAACATTGCGTTCGTTGAGCAAACAAGGCCATGTACGGAATGATAAATAGAAGCTGATATTTAAGCGCGTATCCACAATACATGTAGTATCGTAGAATAGCGTTGTAAATGTTTGCATCTAGGTTTAGCAATTAAAATCATACGAGTTACGAGCTATAAATGTAAAATGAGTATTGATAGGTTTTCAAATCTAAATGAAATGACAAATTGATATTGACACTCATAAATATCAGCGACTCTATTTATATCATTGAATCACGGCGAGGTCAGCGCAATAGAAGAACAGATTATAGATCGGTTCATCGTTGACCTCAACAATTCCAATTGACAAAAAAGTTAATTCTCTGACATGTAATGGCTCGGCTCATGTTTTATCCCTAAATTGTTATTGATTTTTTTATGTTTCAGGTTCTGTTAGCTAAAGTTTTCAAACCTATATTATAAGTTTTTCTGAGAAATTGTAATGACACATGACAAGCTTCATCATTAGTTTTGTTAAAATTAGCATACATATACATATAGCAAGTTATTTGAAAGAGATATATATTATGGATTTAAATGCACCATTAAATATTCCAGCATTGATGAGCTTTCACCGTTGATTGATCAGACTACGATTCATGATTTTCGATTCAATTTATGATTTTCTATTGCCGAATCATTTCAACAAAACATTACTTACTTCTTGTTGATGACTGAAAAGAAGCAGAACGCGCCTGAATCCTTCGCATAAACATTTATAAATCCTTGTTTGCCATTGATAAGTTTCGTGTTGGTGGTGTTAGTCGTCGGCACCTGCTGGCTTCACATCTTCTTGTGCTAAGCCACTTGATTTGACAGTTTTTTCGCCAAATGGACCGTTAGATGTGTCAATTAGTACTGACTTAGCTGAAATTCTCCAACTGAAACTTCATTATCTTTCAAACATCACTTACTTAGTTTTTGACAAAATCTCTACAATGGGACGATCTAGAAGTCGTTCCCCAAAAAGACACAAGAGCAAACGATCACACAAACGTCGGTCTCGTTCACGTGATCGGGACAGAAAGCGACATCGAGCCAGCAGAGACAAATCTAAAGAGAGAGACCGTATTTCTAAGCCTAGGTAAGAGACCGTACCTCTAAGTCTAGTAGTATGATCATGATGAACAGATGAAGTTTTGTGCTTGATAATAAGCTGAGTAAGAAAAGCCAGCAGCCCGGCAAAAGCCTCCTATTCTCCTAGTCTCCTAGAAAATGTGAATGAGCCTAGAAGTAAATATCTATGTCTGTGGGGCGTGGGCCCAAACCCAATTGTGCACTTTTGTTAAGAATTAGATAGGAACTAAAGCTAATTGATGTTAATGGAACCTTGCAGCTTCAAAAATGGCAGAAAAGCTCTTTTTATAGCCTGCAAGTTGCAATGTTAATATATTCCATTCCAGATCCTATGGCCTGCATTTGACAAAAATATCTGGTAGAAATTAGGAAAAATTGTATATTGTTAAATTCATAGTGGCAAAGCAGAGAGTTTTTTAGAATCTCCCTCAAGTTCATTTTTGAGTCCTATAAGTAGACCAGTAAAGTATCCTGGATACCACTCATACCAGCATTATCATACTTAAGAAATTGGTTTAAATCTTGAGTAAATGAGGAAATTAAAAATGAACTGATTCTAAAAAAGCTCTGGTTTTCCACTATGTTGCACTCGGACTTGGTAATGCTTGGTCAATGTGTCCGCTCATTTTTCAGGATGTGCGCTTGAATTTTGGCCCTTTCCCAGATCCCAGTTAATTCTGTCTTAATATAGGTATTGGAAAGAGTTTTCCATATATAGGTGGTAAAAAGATTATTCCACATGCAATTTAAAAAATTTTAAGCTAAAATGTACCATTTTCTTGATGTTTGGAGCACATAAAAATGTCTAAGTCCTAAGATGTCTAAGTCCAATTTTTTGAGCTGTGAATTCCTTATCCAAGCCTTAAAAAGCCATTTTTGAGAAGTAAGTTTATTTCCCAAGCCAAACACATGTAGTATGCCATTATGCTGGAAGTCAGGAAACAAACTGTAGAATTGGAGAGATACCACCCATGGATGAGACAAAAATGCCTATGCACTCAGACACTTTCACCTGACCCTATGCCCTATGGCCCTTGTCTAATTTCTTTAGTGAAAAATGAGACTAAATGGCACATTGTCATCTAACAATTTTAACCGTCATCTGTGAAACAATCCTTCATACTTGCAATTTTTCAAATAATTTGCCAGCTAATGCACATTGGTCTTGACTGACTGGTCTGGAGATATGTGTATTGAAGTGACTTATTTAAGCTAAGCAAGTCACCATAATATTTAGATTGGTGTAAAAAATTATTATTACTCTTGAAATGAAATATGAAAGTTCATTGTTTATAATATTTTAATTTTTTTCATAATTTATTTTTTAATGAATTAATATTACTTTTGATATGAAATATGAAAGTTCATTGTTTATAATATTTTCAATATTCTCATGTTTTCAGCTCTAGTCGCAAAATTTTCAAGTCTGACTCATCATCATCAAGTAGTGATGAAGAAATCAAGTCAAGGGAGAAAAAGATTGATGAAGTTGACAGGCTTGCTGAGCTTGAACGAATTAGGTAAGTTAATACCTTCCTGCATATATATCATATCAATGGTGCCATAATCAAGCTGGCTCTGTTGAGTTAATGTGTCCTCATGATAATATATTAAAAATTTATTTACCACAGTTACAGTCATTTATAATTTTCATTACCATATTATTTTAGCATATTATATTTGAATTTTTATTTGAAATTTCTATTATGATCTTTAGTACTGATGATCCAAAATTCACTTGTAAATTGTAAAATGCAGAACATTGTATCAATAGCTAATTTGCTATTAAAATGATTTATTCTGAGAAAACTTTGCTATCAAAATGATTTATTTTGAGAAAACTGGAAAGGCAACAAGTTGATTTACTTTTGAACAGACGTCAGAGAGAGGCAGAGATGAAGCAGGTGGAAGAGCTTGCAGCTCGCCGAGTAGAAGAACTTGTGGCAAAGCGAGTTGAGGAGGAGCTAGAACGCCGCAAGGATGAAATTGAAGCAGAAGTTTTACGTCGGGTGGAAGAAGCCAAGCATTTGATGGAAGAGCAAATGCTTCAAGAACTTGAGAAAAAGAGAAAAGAGCAAGAGGAAGAGCAACATAAAAGAGAGGCAAGTTCTGTGGAGATGAGGGAGTTCAATGGGTCTAGATGCAAGCCAGTCCCCTTACAAGTCTTTGTTGAAATTCTCCATTTGAAAAACATTATCATTGCTCATTCTTTCTTTTTTTCAGTAGCAGTAACTTCCAGCATCTACTACCAGTTATTTTATTTTCTTCAACTGTCATGCTTTAATATATCTCTTACAATTAAGTGCTTTATAGGATTAAACACAAGGACCTGAAACAATGTCACACTGTAATGTAATTGAATAATTTGCATCTGAAGGATTTAGTTAAACATTAATTTACTTCACTATACTCATAACTTAAATGTTATACTCATAAATTGAAATTTTACATATAATGTTAATTGACACTCTAAATTATTTGCATGCCTGATTCAGATCTACAAAGCTGTCATCAATGCTAAAGTAATGAATGCTTTCATTTCCAATTGCTCTCTTCTTAAAAGATATTGGTCATTCTTTAAAATCACTTATTCTGCCTAAAATGCAACTTCAAAACCTTGTTATTCAGGGTAACCCTTTTTCATTGTGTTGCCAGCTTGTTAACTAGAATTTGTTCATTGGAAATATGTTAATAACTGCAATGAAAGCATTACACTAATATCAGCTCATTTTACAACCCTGATCTAATGTTGATTACTTCCAATTACCTACTCTTATAAAGAAGCAATTTTGTATGAGAAACATCAGATTACTAGTGTTGGGAATTCCCTTTTTTTTTAGTTACATAATGACAAGACTTTCTTTACAGCCTTTTTGTTGAAGCCACTAAATTTACCTGCTAATTTGACTTGAAGCTGAAATGTTTAAAATAATGCATTGTAATTAAATGTAACAAAATTAAAAAAATATATAGTCAAGGGACTTGTATATATCATAAATTGAACTCAAAGAGATGTTTATTTGGAACAAAAAAAAATTATAAATCACTGAGTATTCTTGCAACATTCATCCAGGCAACTTGGTTATGACTCAACAACAAACTTCTTAATTGAGTGCTGTGATTGATCACTCTGAAATGGCATATAAATATCATTGCTAGTGATGAGACACATAAACCTGCCAACTTAGCCCAGGCTGTGACCATAATATTCTCAAATTTTCTCAATCATTTATGTACCTCGTTTTACTCCTGTGTTACATGTGGGAGGTCATTTGCATATATTTTTATGATGGAGATAACATGATGACTTTAAAACTTACCATAAGTTTAGATATGACAAGTCTATCTAAAATGCTGCCTGTGCACTCACTGCAACATGGTAAAAATGATCCTAGTCTGATGATGTCATCCCACAATCAGCATCTCATCATCACCAACATGTCTTGAAGATTTCCGAGGCAACTGAGGTAACATTATGTTGTTACCTTGGTTGCTATGGGTTTTGTGCGTATAAGTTGGTGAACTCCTGTTATTTATGTATATGGGTTTAGTGCATTTAGAATGTCATTGTACATGGCATTATAATGCCTACTGTACGAGGCATTTGCCAGTACAATTGAGGTTAATTGACGGGCAGCAGCTGCTCCTGCCAGGTCTTCGGATCCTCTTCACTTCCCTACAGCTCTGGTAACTATATGACAGGTATTGTTTCTTGCACTTCTGTTGGCAGTTCAATTCTGCGTCATTAGTTCACCTTGATGGTGGAAATTATTTATGCACTGCCTCCTTGTATGCAGTCCAATTTATTCTGATGTGCCCCACGTGTTACATTTTTAGGTTCCTTGGACATTTAGACATTTATTGCAATCATGGGACATTTATTGTTGCGATCATCTTAAATATATTACACTACTTAGACCTGTCATGGAAGCTGTGATTTCTGACTTGTGTACCCACAAGTTCTGTGTTAAACACCCAAGTCGTTTGCTGCTGAGAACATGAATGGACTTTAAGCAAGATTTATCACATCTCATCCCAGATTAAAGGAAACGTACAAGGTTCAGTTTAGTATCAGGAAAAATTGCAGCAACATGTCACCTTCATCTAAATTTTTTACTGCAATTACATTATCACATTTACTATGCATTGATAGTGCTCAGAAATTCTCCCTCTATTAAGTTACTTTGCTCCTTCAATCTAGCAATCGGTGTTGTTATCAGGTTTCTCTTCAGTGAAGGTTTTACTTTATTATTTCATTTACTTTGCTTCCAATTTTTTCTATGTAGTCATAATGCTTGTTACTGGCCAGCTAAGTCTCCTCATCTTGTCATTACATTTATCGAAGAAAATTAAAATTTTCATTTCTGAGTACTTTTGACCTTTATTGAACTTGATAAAAAAAAATTCCTTTTAATTATCTCCAAGCATTATTTTTACCTCAACTTGAAATCAATTTTTAGATTCAAAAGTTACATTTTCATTCATTATGCATTCAAAGTGAATGAAATGATTTAATTAATGTTCAAGAAGAGGATCTGGCCCATGCTTGACAGCGCCTCAACTCACATATGACGGAGACTTTGTTTTCTAGGAGGCCGAGGCTTTACAGAGGGCTGAGCTCGAGCGAATTATGGAGGAGAACCAGCGCAAGATTGAAGAAGCGCAGGCCAAATTTGTGAGTAAACCTAGGATTATTTTAGAGGCATTATTATTATCAGAGGCATTATTGATTATTATCTAAGAGGAATTATTGATTATTATTTAAGAGGCATTATTGATTATTATTTAAGAGGCAACCATCATTGGTGATCTTGAGCATAGTCCTATTCAACGACAGGCTAATACAGATGCAAGTAGAGTAGTGATGGTGTACTGTGCTGTAATAGAGTACTCCACAGTCACTGCTTGCAGGAAATAGCAAGATCAAAAATAGTTTAATTTTTATGTTCGCTCTATGAAAGTTTTGCTTGCTTTTTTAGGATGCGTCTGCAAAGACAGAGACTAGGTACCAAAATTGTTCACTTGAGTGCAAGTGCAACTTGTTCATATGTACAAATATTAAATTCATTTATTTATCTCTGTTATGATGGCAGGCTGAGCAGCAACTGAAGATGGTAGAGGAGCAGCGAGCCATCGAGGAGGAGCGGATCAAGATGAAGCGAGAACAGGAGCGACGAACCAAGGAGGAGCAGAAGCTTATCCTTGGCAAAAACAACGCACGGCCAAAGATATCCTTCAGCCTATCGTAAGTTTTTAACTCCTTCTTTTGGCTGGCCCCAAGCTGTGCCAAGAAGATATGTATAGGTAATTCTTTACCGGAAGAGAACCTCTAATCAACATCAAGCAACGCATTGAGTACCACGTGTAGTGGTCTATTCCAGCAATTGCAGTTAGAAAAATGTGACTGCTTTCATCATCAACACGAGTGTTATTGATGTATTTTGTCAATCACAATTGGGAAAAGAAACTACTTTCATCGTCAATAAAATCTTCTGTCATAACCATCGTTCCAAGAAGCACCTGCCACAAGAAATAAGAAATTGAATAGCCTTTGGTCAATTAAATTCTGACACTTGAAGGCTGATGATGTGGATCTGTTTGCACCAGAAAAGTCTGAACAACTATGCACCGGGAAAGGAAATGAAGTTTCTGTCATAACAAAGATTATTTGACTGATGCATTAGAGAAAAAAATGAAAATGAAAATAATTTTGTAGCTTCAAGACAGCAGTTACTGTAAATATTAATTTCTTCTAATTTTTTAACGCAGTGAGACGGTAAAAACCATTGTATGAAGTGAATAAATTCAACCAGCAAGGTGCATTAGTTTAATGATTTTGATTCATCCGTGTCTTTTTAACCAAAACAGAAAGTGAATGTAACTGATATGATTATAGTATATGAATATTATCAAAAATGTGGTAAGCAACTCGATGCTATTAGTTGATTAAGTGGTCATGAGATTCATGCTTAAGTGTTACCAGTAATTTTTCAGAAAACTGAGTTTGGTTTTAAGGTTTTAATGAAGTCAAAATTTACGCATTTCTTCAGAGTGACTGTAACATAATTGGGAGGTTTACTTTTTGCTCCAATAAGCACCATGCAAATGTTTAAGCAACAAACTTTTAAGAATATCCTGTATTGAGGTGAAGAGGGTAATAAATACTGACCGATAAATACAAGGAATTCTTATTTAGTCAGCTTAACTAGAGCTGTTGATTTTGTGCACGTGTGTCCACCTTAATACTAAAATTCTTAACGAGTTGTCTAAATTATTCTATTCTACCTCCAATGGCAACTTGCCTGATTCTGAATAACATTATTTTACGCAACATTTTATCATGGACGTTTTCTATTATATACTGGACTTACCATTATCCTTAAGAAACATAGATTTGTCCTGGTTTTGATTTTATTATTTTTTTTGTAATCTTCTCGGAAAAAAGTACTAGAACAAGTCTCGTGAACTTACATGTAGGTATACTTGACCTGTAAAATTAAATAGATGTATGTGAAGATATCAATTTCTTTGCTTTGTAATCTTTTTTGATTGTTTGATTGTTTCAGTGACTAATGATTCAGGAAGAAAGAAAACTAAGTAGGTGAAAAAGTAGCGTTATTTTCTGGTGCTGCTCGAGTTATTTCTTGTTTGTTGTTATTGGAAGCGAGGAATGATAGCAAATAAAGTGCAGCTTCAACAGTTGCGTGCCTAAGATAACGTAAAGAGGGAAAAACGTGTTGTATTTTCCTGGATGAATATTAGCAATTATTCATAAGAAATTTTGTGTAAGATTTCCATTTTGTATTATTTAGCTATCTATCGTTGACTCGTTGTCAAGATCAATCCCTGTCAGGTATGAATAAAATGTATAGGTTATGTTGTATGAACTCAAGGCACATTTTGTGAGGAAAATTCATTTGCTGTTGCACAGCAACGGCTAAAAATCGCACTCACTGGCGATGGATTCATTTATGGAAACTTCATTTATATGACTTTATTTATTCTGAGTAGCATTATTTATCATGATGACCTCTTTAATATCTTGTATTGTATGAACTGCCCTGTCAAATGCAATAAAAAAAAAACTAGAAGCAAAATTTCAAGAGATCTTGAAGGTTTCAGTCTGCTACTGAACGAATAAAAAATATTTTGTTCTTGCTCTAAAAGAAAATGAATATGGCTTGCTTGTGTTATATAAAGAAACTGTGCCAAGTGTGAGTTTAGACAAAGGGAAGTTTTTCTGATTGTTGGAAGAATAACGAATTTGCTTGAGATGGCAGCAATAGTACTGCAATAAGGCACTGAAATACTATCAATGAAATTTCAATAGTGGTGTAAATTTCCATGCGTAACATGTTCCTCATATCATTTGTACATATTTTGTCGTATCATTTTATCATTACCTTGTTATCCTAATGTCTGGTCTAGACGTTCCTTACGTCTTTTTCGTTTAAGCCAATTGTGGTCATGACATTCTTTGCCTCCAATATTCCTATTGATAGGAGAAAAAAAAACATGTAATTCACATACGACCTGCTGGTATAATCTTATTTTATGCCATTACTGTTTATATTACTCGTAATCTTATTTTACGTCATCACTATAATATTACTCGTAAGAACAGCATTGTACCGTACTCATCGGACAACGTTATTTGTACGTAGCTAACCTGAAGCAGTACAGAGGGTTTCACATCAGTGGCGTGTTAAGCGAATTATATTAGATTGCATCAACTGTTCACGTCTATGTATGGTCAATCATATTTGAATTAACATTCGAGTCATTCGTGTTTTTTTTTTGTATGAATTGAACTCCATTGGAGACCTAGTGTCAGTGATCATAATATTTTTGTAACACATAAAGTTATGTCATATAACGTGAAATATTATGTCATATGCGAATTCAGTCTGTAAGTGGATTGATTACCAATGATTTTTTTCCAATGTACAGAAATATTATTTTGACTTCTTTGCTGTTGTGTAAACGTATTACAGTTATTCATGTTTCTATGACTTGATCCAGAGCTTCTATTCATTTTTCAAACAATAATCGTTGCGTGAATTCAAGTTAGGAAATAACATGAAGGATATTTGAAATAACATGGAGAGAACTGCAATCATGTGATGTAAATAAGCGCTCCGTAGGCAACCCGGGAGAATAAGTACGAATGTTGCTGTGCTACTCGAAGCAAGTTTACTACAGGTTAATTAGCTGCAGGTGACCAAGTTTACTACAGGTTAATTAGCTGCAGGTGACCAAGTTTGCTGCAGGTTAATTAGCTGCAGGTGACCAAGTTTACTACAGGTTAATTAGCTGCAGGTGACCAAGTTTACTACAGGTTAATTAGCTGCACGTGATCAGTTAAGTAACGTGAACATTTGCACGTATTCTGTAAACTTCTTTCTTGAAGGTTGGTTCACGTTAGACGAGTTATATTGCAAGTAAGCTACAGAACAGCGTCTTACATTTGTGACTCGTGTTCTATTTAGACATGCAAATTGGACGAGTTGTGTCATACATGTAACCTTGTACCACATTTGTTTCTGTTCTGTAACCTCCCATATTTGTTAACTTTTGGAGTAACCTCCTCTGTAATAGTAATTAAAATATCAACCGTAATGACTCTCAAATTTCCTTAATAAAATACCATGACGACAGTTTGCTGAAATTTTGGTGACGCGGAAACTTTTTTAATTGATTATACATTTTTGTAAAGTTTGGACGCTTGAGTTAGATTAAGAAATAAGATAAAAAAGAATACAATTCCATCTTTTCCAAGTAATGTGAGAAATATTAATTGTTAATATTTTCTAACAATTTCCGAGCTCATTTTAATTCGAGTCGCGCTAAAAACTTCAATTGCTCAATATAGCAAACTGAGTACTAGTGAAGCCAAGCTGTATATAAATCGGACTTGAAGCTATGAAGTGTTGTACACTGGAAGGAAAATAACCAAAACCTGCAACCCTGTACCGTTATTTATTTCATGTTGTGCGAGTTGCAATTTGTGTGTTGCTTCTTGGCGGCCACTGCCGTGCGAGTTGCTTGCTTGTCTATGCGGAGGAGGGACAGGCCACTCCGGAGGGTAGCGCGAGTACCCGGTCACCCCAGAGAGGGGCGGGTGAGGTTACTGCAGAGGAGGGCATGAGGGGCGGGTGAGGTCACTGCAGAGGAGGGCATGAGGGGCGGGTGAGGTTACTGCAGAGGAGGGCATGAGGGGCGGGTGAGGTCACTGCAGAGGAGGGCATGAGGGGCGGGTGAGGTCACTGCAGAGGAGGGCAGGAGGGGCGGGTGAGGTCACTGGGTACGAGGTAGCCCCCTTGATGCTCCGCGACCTCCGTCAGGAAGTCCTGTCCGTCCTGGTGGACGGCAACCACACGCGACTGGTCCAAGTCCGCGTCCTGTGGTACCAAATAGTGGTCATACTGACGCGGTATTGCGAACAAATATACTGACGTGAGCGTGATATTGCGAACAAATATACTGACGTGAGCGCGGTATTGCGAACAAATATCTGCCTTAGCTTGCTTCGCACCACACTGACTGGTATATGCCCGTCACGGGCCGTATGCTGTCAGGTGCATTACATGTCCTGTACGGTCACGGGCCGTTCTCAGTTATTTTTGTTTAGCTCGTTTTAATAACGACCATGCCAGTCACATCCCGGTCAAAATATCTTTTGCCTTGGCAGTATGGAGTGATTAATGCCTCATTAATGGTAGGTAGTGATAATAATAAGATATTACGAAAAATATTGAGAGACAAAGTAAGATCGTCAATCAAAAAACGCGCGCCGGACTTCTATAACATTAGCAGGCGAGTTTGAGTGATAATGAATTAAATTTGAACATAATAATAAATCTTGTTTCGGTCCCACTAATATAATTTGATATCAATACTAAGACAAGACGAGTAGCTGACTCATGCAAAGGGCTCATATCGCTATAATGGCCGCTATCATGCCCCACATGGCCACCATCATGCCCCACATGGCCAGCATCATGCCCATATGGCCACCATCATGCCCCACATGGCCACCATCATGCCCCACATGGCCACCATCATGCCCCATATGGCCACCATCATGCCCCACATGGCCACCATCATGCCCCATATGGCCACCATCATGCCCCATATTGCCACCATCATGCCCCATATGGCCACCATCATGCCCCATATGGCCACCATCA